CGGGTCCACTGGTGGAACCTCTTCTAACCGGTTCGGTAGATTTGACGAACCAGTTTTACCGAATAGGTGCGAACTGGTAGGAACCCACCTCTGGAGGTAAGACACCCCTAAAACCCCTCAGGGTGGGTATTCTATTAGGATACAGCCTGTTGTGCCTTAAAATGGCTTCTACTGCACTGCTGTTAAATGGCAGCGCAGTGGAGTTGCCATGGTAACGGCTTCACAGTCCTCCACAAGGGGGCTCCCTCTGGCAAGGGGGAAAATCCAACATTAGAAATTATATTTGGTCCAGACATTTCCCCCTCTATGAATAAATACCGAGGCAATGTTGGGTTGTCGGCTAGTATTAGAACAAAACAAACAGGTCTGCTGTTCGACTTACTTCTCGTTGAGAAGACTGCAGGCTGCGCGTCTGTTTGATGGCTTCTTCGTAGCGTGGGGGGTCTTTCGTTTTGGTTCCTGAACTGTTGAACAAGGACTGCTGCAAAAGGTATTGCTGGGACTGAGCCGGGGAAGGTGGCTGCCAGAAACAATGGATTCAGTTAGCGAACAAATGCGGCAGTAAACAGATTTAAAAATAATTTTTTTAAAGAGACCCCCAACTCTCCTTTTTTATTTACTCACAATGATAAGAGGGCATATTTATCCTGCTTTGTCATTAAAAGCAATCTCGAATCAAAGAGATAATGTATTCTGATATTTTATTAAAAGAGCGAAGGTGGAGGGAGGAACACTTCTTTCTAAGGTAAGCAATAAGCAGACTTCAATACATGAGGGGTTTGTTCTGACTACATTAATCTCTTTCCCTTCCATCCTGAGGCTTGATCAAAACAGCTTCTACTGCAACATTTCCAAAGGGAATGATTTTTTTTTCTCCAAAGCTGATTAGTAATAGCACTTAGATTTATATACCACTTTACAGTGCTTTACAGCCCTTTCTAAGCGATTTACAGAGCCAGCATCTTTCTCCCAACAATCTGGGTCCTCGTTTTACCCACCTCAGAAGGGTGGAAGGCTGAGTCAACCTTGAGCCTGGTGAGATTCAAATTGCGGGCAACTGGCAGTCAGCAGAAGTAGCCTGCAATACTGCATTCTAACCACTGTGTGGCTCATAATGAATGCTATGCGGAGGAGAATTTAACTGGCAGGTTAACACTTCCTTCCTTGAGCACTGGAAAGGCTTCGAATTATCTGGTATCCTACTCACCTTTTCTGCTTTCGAGTCACTCTCGACTCCTGGCAAACTAGAGGAACAAGTCCCTGGGGTTTTCTTGCAATATTTCTCTGAAGTGGTTTGCCAGTGCCTCTTTCCTAGGGCTGAGAGGGCATGACTGGTCCAAAATCACCAGTGGCTTAAGCCAGGACTAGAATTCAGGTTTCCCTGTTCTTGCTTCACCACTTCAATATCTATACCAAACAGTCTCTTACCTGTCCTACAATTAGGCGTTAAGAATGGAACCCATAGCAGCTTTTTCAAGCTATTAAGACAGCCCTGGTGGCGCAGTGGTCGGAATGCAGTATTGCAGGCTAACTCTGTTCATAATCTGCAGTTCGATCCTGACCGGCTCAAGGTTGACTCAGACTTTCCTCCTTCTGAGCAGTGGTGGGATTCAAATAATTTTTCTACTGGTTCTGTGGGCGTTGCTTTGTGGGCGTGGCAGGGGCAGGATACTGTAAAATCCCCATTCTCTCCCCACTCCTGGGGGGAGGTTACTGCAAAATCCCCATTCCCTCCCCACCCCAATAACCTGCTTTCCAGCTCCGTTCTCCTGTTCAGGGCAACAAAAGAAGATCAGCTGGGAGGCAGTGAGGGCGGGGCCAGCCTATTTGCCGGTTCTCTGAACTACTCAAAACTTCTGCTACCGGTTCTCTAGAACCTGTCAGAACTGGCTGGATACCCCCTTTGCTTCCGAGGTTGGTAAAATGAGGGCCCAGTTCAGTGGTGGGTTGCAGGAAGTACGCCCCGGTAGAGGCGTACCGGAGCTTGCCCAGAGCACCAGATATCATTC